CACTATAGTCTTATGTTTAGAATGTAAAAATATGTTCTCTTTTATTTTAATTTTGAAAGTTTTACTCAGACGATCGATGAAATAAAACAGTGTAGTGACGTGCCTAGTAACCTGCTAAATAACGAGATAATTCCGACGTCAAATTCTATTTTGTTCAGCGACAGTGTACAAACGTGCGCCGGTGTCGGTGACGATCACGGTGACCAGCTACACCAGAACGAACATATTTCGCATCTAACTCAACCCCATGCAACAAAAATTGATACTATGTGTTCATTATGGTCCATTCTTCCTCGACGATCATGTACATAAGTGACAATTTAGTCAAAGACGAGAAAACTGCACAAGAAATTTGCCTTATTTACACGTATCGGCAATGCAAGCTGCCATGCGACTTCCCCTTCTGACGTCACAAGGGGAATTTCTGTATGCAAATGAGAAGCTAATGAGGAGCCTCGTTTTAAAATACACAAAAATAAAGTTGCCGAAGACTGAGTTTAAAACACATTTTTTCACTTAAAAAATAATTCATGCTTAGAAACATAAAAATTAATAATATTTATGTATCAATGGATAATTTTAGGCGTGAAAATAGCAGCCATTTCACAGGCACTTTAAATCATTATTTCAAACAATTTACATCGTGCAGCAATGTAATAACTAATAAATACTAAATACGTAGTACGCATGCACAAATTTAATACGCATTTTTGTTATTTCAATCCACCCGTGATGGAATGAATATACATTGTAGTCAGTTTATAATATTGACAGGAATATCGCAATATAAATATATAATATGATTTACTTTGTTTACACATTTTATTTTAATCTGATAGATTTTTTATTATAGCTAAATATATGAAACTATGTTGACAGTTTCGGTAAGGGGAATGGTAAAGAGTAAATCGTGACACTGTAAGGACAATAATTCTAAATGCGTTTGTTCATGTCAGAGTTTATGTGATTTATATTTTTGTTTTCCGAAAGTGCAACTGACACAAATGACAACATAAAATCGTGATTTCATAGTTAGTATTTCTACGTTTTACATCGTCGACCATTTAAATACTTACAAAACCTCTAACAGATTGTCATCCATATAACAAAGAACATATCACAGCAATAACACATGTTCTGAAATAATTTGTTCTCATGAAGAATAAACTAAAGAAAAGGTTTAGTTTTGAAAGCACGTTTTAATGTGTAGTTGTCTACATATGACACAGAGGTTTTATATACCTTACACTATGGGTTAGGCACACTATGCTATTAAAAAACGTGTGCCAACGTAAGTAAACTCTAAAAAAAACTTTTATACCAGGATCCTGTTCAAATTCCTGTTTACATATATAGCTTTCTAAATACATATCGAGGGACTTGGAAGTGGTAATCGCATTTGCCTTAGTACGGTTATATATGCCACATCGCAAGCACATACTTACGGGAAATATGAATACGTGGTCAAGTTGTGGAACCATCAGCCGGATTACCGAAGACAAATACAAATCCACAGTGGTTTATATGATTTTCGCCATTGGTCTTCACGCATTAAGAATCATGGTGCGCCATGATTAAACCAATTAAACAACAATATTAATTAAACTACAATTACAAAAAATTGGAACTGAATTGAATTTTTTTATTGATATTATGCCTACCCACACAGCATGATCATATATCAATACCAATATATCGATACATTATTTACATTGTGTATTTTGGGGTAAAGAACCCAATTACAAGGTCGGTGACGGTACTTTATTTTGGCCGTTGTATTTCTGTATTTCGTTTGGCGATTCTACCACACCATAGTACCTCGCTTGTTTTACCTTGTAAACACCTCATAACACCTTGAACGGAAAGAAACGTAATCATTTTCAGCCAATCAGGCGTGCCGTAACAGCGAGTATTTCCTTGATTTACGCAGAACTCTGTGCGAATCCCCCTTGATTCTGGATGCTGGCCATTTTCGCGGGATTTGTGCAGTTTTTAATAAAACCAAGTTAGCGATTATGAACAATGGTTATT